AAAACAGATTTTTATCACGTTATGGGGACATTATGTCCCCATCAGGATAGGTAAACCCGCTCACGCACGCACACACGCACACGCACACGCGCACACACACACACACACACACACACACACACACACACACACACACACACACACACACCTCTGACCATGGACAATTTAGAGACCCCAATTATTCCAAACAAATGTGTTTGGAATAATGTTTGGACTGCAAACATGTGACATGGTGGAAACATGCAAACTCCACAGACAGAAGTGGAATGTGTTCCCAAGTCCAGGAGGTATGAGGTGCGTGTGTCACGGCCAGATTTCAAGCTGGAATGTACAGCACTGACAGGAGGAACACGGAAAACCGCTGTTCCACACACGGCCACTGCTGTTCAGGTTCTCTCTTGTACGGGTTTGCTTGAACAATAACATTTTCCTGAGAGAGCTCCAGTAGAGTGAAAACAGAGGGTTTTAACTTAAGCCAGCCCAGATGGTAGAAAATAATTAATTGAAGGAAAAAAAAAAAGAAACTAACGGGAGACAGACTGAACCTGCCAACTAGAAGTATTAGCCATCAGATCACTAGCAGAGAGAAATTCTCAGGCAAGGACTTGAGGCAGCAGCACAGACCAAATGGGCTGTCACACGACAAATGGAGATGAGCATCGAGTGATTCTATGAAGGTACAATCAATCAATCTTAATTTACATAGCACTGTTTTAACCACAGGGCTTACAAAGTGCTTTACAGACACTTAACATCCAGACCGTCATCATTGGTCTGTGTCACACTAAGGTCTTAGATTATCTGGCCGGTAAATCTGTTAAAGCCCTGCGTTTGGGGAAATTACTTTCTAGAATTTCCATGTAAATTAGCAGCCTTGGCTGAAGGTGTGACATTCGACAGCGGAACAGCAAACAGGCCTGCTGTTCTGACAAAGGCGGCCTAAATTCAGCTACCGGCCTCTGTTTGGTGCCTGCCTCATGACATAGAACCTGAATGCAAGTGACACAATCCCACTGTCTCACAGCGTAGACCAACCTATTTCTTACAACATCTTCTGTTGTCAAATTTACATGTCAATTAATAAGCACTTATCACTGTTACAGGCCCATTCCCTTCTTATGACCAACTGCCTCATTTAATCACATGCTATGACCTCGATATTTACAAAATTCATCACTCGGTGCTCCAACTTGCCACAGTAATAGAAACCGCTATGGTTCATACCAACTAGTGTTTCCATGGTTACCAATGAACCCAGACAACATAAACTGGGATAAACCAAAAATAAAGGTATTAGAAATCTTGGGTCGCATGGAAAACCATACAAGACACATATTAATTGCCAGGTTGTAAAGGTGCACTTAAAAAATAACGGGTAATAGCAAAGATTACCGAAATATATACTGCTTCTGGCTACCTTGTATTGGACAAATGAAGCGGCATTTGTATTGTATACATGCCATTTATGTTTAATGACCAGAATGCATTCAAAAGAAGCCTGAATAGATGCTTTCAGCTTCACTGAGGCTACTATTATAGGTTAATTAGGCCTCATGCTGCCAAACCTGTTAAGATGACCAGCCATACAGGGGGGGGGGAAGCAGTCAAACCAACCGAACGACTAAACTGCGAAGAAGATAAACGGCCCAGATTGATGGATGCCCCGCAGGATTCCTGCTGCGGCGCTCGAGTGAGGGACCGTCTGAGGGCCGGCCCCGTGTGACGGCGGGCCAGAAATAAGGCGGCCTACTGACACCGGGAACGTCTGGCTTCACACGGCGGCCTCAGTGAGTGCAGCTAAAGAGCAGGGGAGCTGAATCCCCCGCCCCGCACGCCATGGTGAGGTAGGGTGTGGATCATTTACAAGCTTAGGTGCCACTGTGAAACTGTGACGAGTCCCTAATCGAGCAAAACCACGCAGGACAATTTATACAAGTGTGAATATGTATTTCTAAGCGGCACATGGGGGGCTCTGGAGTGGACAGTCCTAACTGTCAAATACCGGGTCAGGAGATGTTTATACGTGGATATTAATCTCCAGCAACCCCCCCCCCCTTAAATCTGCTCTGGTGTCCATGGCCACACACGTGCAATGTCTTGCCAAGAGTAGTGTGTTCATGTCACTGTTGTGAAGCGTTCAGGACAATTCATTAAAAAAAAAAGTCAGGATACCATGTGATGTTGGATGCATTCTGTGAAGAGAGAGAGCGTGGGGGGGGGACAAAAACCCCCATTTCCCTTTCTGAGAACAGAGGAGAGCTGTACGTCGCCCCTAAGGGACAGCATTGCGATACAAAGTGGAATTTGCCACCCCCCCCCCCTCCCCTCACCGAAGGGACTTGACCACTTGTCACATTTTCACTCAACTTGAGGACGCCTTGACATCTAGGCACACTGATAGCAGGGATGGGCTCTCCACGTGACGGGGCCTCCCCCGTGGCAGAGAGGAACCCCGGCGAGAGGCAGAGGCCACAGAGGATGCGGAGCTCACACACAGCCCCCACGGCAGAGGGGCACAGGGGCGACGCGGGGCGGCTCCTTACCCTGCATGGCTCTGCCCAGTCCTTGTCCCATCTTCCAGCCATGTTTCTGAAGCAGCCTGTGCCCGATATTATCCTGGGAGACAGAAGGAGGAGAAACAAACATAGGAAAATATTCCAATAACAACTGGGAGGGAGAGAGAGAGCACACAGGTACGGAGAGTGGGCGGACAGAATGGCTGGGGGACAAAATAGAGCATCTAAGTGTTGCATCAGGCCCCTTGGTACATAAATGTGCGCCGAGAGACAGGATGAGGGGGGTGTCTGGAAGGGGCAGGTGATTCTGGGAAGGAGAGTGGAAGGGGTGTTACCCCAAAAGAAACCTCACGTGACCCAGCTGCTCGGGGGCCCTGTTCACTTCAAACAGCTCGACTCGCCCTCAGTCTGCGCAACGCCGTTTTGAGTTGAGGCTGCACCGCAATGTTTGATCAGGGAAATGAGGCCACAAGCAGGAAACACAACCTCAAACAAGGAGCCAAGTATGGGCAACATTAAATAGGACAGCACATACTGCAGCAGACGCGTAAGGCACGGGAAAAGAAATAGACGGAGAAATCAACCGGAGGCAAGAGCAGTCTTGCGTCTCAAGACAACTGAAAGCGAAACTACGCACAAAATTATGAGAAGGTTCGGTGTGTAACAATGGCTGCCACCTAAAGAAGGGGGAGATCACCACAGAATCTCAGGGAATGTCGAGGCAGGAGGGACAAAGAGGATGGGTTACATGGCGCTGCGTCTGGATTAGCCTTCAGATGCAAGAAGAAGCCAATGTTAGCAGTGCTAACCCTCCAATGTTAGCAGCCCCACCCCTCCACCTCCATTCCAGTTCCTTATTCCATTTCCCTACCCCCGCAGTAGCCAGCTGTATGGGTAGAACCAGTAGGACGTGGGTCTGTAACTCGATTGACAATGCCACAAAAACTAGGTTCAGGGGAGAGGCGATTTTGTTGGGATTCGATTCCAAACACTTGAGACAATCCCGAGAATACTGTATGGCATGTACAGGCAATCGATTAAGAGCCGCAGGGTATGGAAGGAGAGGGAAGAAGTGGGTATATGGTCCATTAATCAACACCCACCCATCAGTGAAACTCAACAAATTGTAACCCAAACCTACTTGGCTTTAGATCCGGTGCAACCACTGAATTTAGAGCCAGGGTTCATCTCATGATTGTACCTCCCACCTGTGAGACTCGTACCTTAGACAGGGTAGGCCTGTATTTCATGGCAGGCCTGTATTTCAGGGTAAAGCCTGCACATGTCCTTCATGTGTCACTGGAGTAACACACTTTAAAAGAACTGTGGGAAATTAATAGCAGCACATGAGCCATACAAAACTCTGCGATTGGGCAAAACCAACCATGGAATAAATCTTGAACAAAGATTCATAACATGGACCAAAAAATGAATCAGTTTTGACTTCAATGTCGACTGAACTACCGCCTCAAGAAATGTCAGCGATTCGAAGATCAATGGGATCTTTAGCTGCAACAGAGACCGAAAACATCTGCTGACCTTGTGATGTAATCCCTGCTGCCACAGTCTGGGAATTGAAAAGCCTGCCCTGCATCGTTTGGATCAAGGCGATGCCGTTAACAGCAAGTCTATAGCAATAAGTCAAGAGCTGAAGGCTATCCTGTTGTTCAGAATCCATTTTCACAATGATTTAGGATAATCTTACTCATGCACGCATTCGACATATCCAAAGATGCAACATCACACCGATTCGCAATCTAAAGCCATCAATTCGGGAGGAAGTCGACCATTAGCCAATAGAGAAGAAGGTAAACAGCATCCTCGATGATATGTGGTCCATCATAGCGCTGTTGCCTCCACATCCATGATTGTGGGTTCAGATCCCACCTGTTCTCTCAGCGTGTGGCGTTTGCACATTCTGCCCGTGTCGCCAGCTTCTCCTCTGGGTGCTCAGGTCTACTCCCACACTCCAAAGACATCAAGTTGAACACCATCTTCAAAATGACCTGTAGTATGTGCGTGTGGGCATGCATGTGCCCTGCAGTAGGCTGGTATCCGCCCTGCAGTAGGCTGGCATGTGCCCAGCAGTAGGCTGGCATCCCATGCCTAGAGCCATTGTTGCCCATAATAAGCTCCAACCCTCACCATTCCATCCAAGACAAGAACTTGGCAAATAGATACTTGTCCATTATGGTCATTACATGCAGCTGTAATTAACCTTGAAAGATGTGCAGTACCCTCTTTTCCTGGTATTATACTTTCTAAGTGGTTCCCTGACAGCACTTTCAAAATACCTTTTTGACGGAAGAGGAAAAAGCCACTTTGTAACCATGGTAACATAGTGCAAGTACTAAACTGGCTGAATTGAAGAATAGTTCATACCTCACGAACATTCAGTAAAATGAACATCATATACTGGGCATATAACAGGCCTGACAGCTTGTAAGGTACCAAAATAATCCACCCAGCCATCCGTCTTCCAGCTATTTATCGTGAACAGCGCACAAGGCAGGGGTACATCCTGGTTGGGACAGGCATTCAAATCACATTAGAGGAGCACAGGATGAGGTTCACCTAAATGAAGACGCTATATTACTGTTAAACAACCCTTTTCTGTGGGCAGTCCAACAGAAATTACGGCAGAAGTGGTTCCTAAACATGCAACGAGATGGATGACCTCAGGATTTGTATTTATTATTATTATTATTATTAATATTATTATTTTATGGAGATGGGTTGTTATCCATGCATTCCTACCCCTGATGTATACCATGTTTATTCCTACAGATGTAAATAGTTATATTTACTCTCTCTCACACAATTATATTGCACACGCCAAACTGAATTCCGTTGTCTGAGCACTTGCACTTTCAGCAACGACAACATCGAATCTATTCTCATCTAATCCAAATCAATGGCACATTAAGATTCTCTCTCTCTCTCTCTCTCTCTCTCTCTCTCTCTCTCTCTCTCTCGAACAGGAGCCGCTCTTAGTGCCAGAAATGGGAATGTGTTACCTTAAAAGGTAGACATTCATTCGGGACTAAAACCCATGCCAAGATCAGCGAGTGGAGGCGGGTGGGGGGGGGGGCAGGGAACAAGGGGCATCTCTGCTTTGAGGTCTGAGCCACATCCAGCCCATGCCGCTTGGCCAGGATGGCGCCCGAACACACGACATTCTTCCACAAAGGTTGGGGGGGGGCCCGAACTACATGGACACATATGGCCGAACCCCCAAGAAAAGCTCTGTGGCTTGATGCTACATGCGCTAAATGCGCTTCAAGTATGCGACACTCTAGTGTAAATAAAGGACCGGGGGCAGTTTACAGTTCAGGTATTAGAGTCACATTTCAGAGGAAAGAATCTCCCACCCCCCCCTCACCACAACTATGCATGACACCTTTGAAAATGGGGCAAGAGACTCTGCAAGTTCTACAGCTTCAAACATATCAATGGGGCCATTCAAAGTAAGGGCTACACAAGACCAGTACAGCGACACTAATAAAGACCTGATTGTGTTAATTACAGAATTAAAAGTCTGATAGCAAAACAAAATTCAGGACAGACAGCTGAGCTTGCTATCAAAAACTCTTCATTTGTAGTTCCATATCACCTTAAGAGCATGACCTTCTTTATGATGGAACCATTTGCTAGCAGACGGTTCCTGTTCAGAAGCTGGTAGTTAGTTTTTGTAAAATTTAATTGGCCATTGTTATGGTATTTTGTATAGGTAATGTTTATATATCCAGGTGCAAATGACTAATATTAAAACAAAGATTCTCAGTCCAGCACTAACACTATTCAATGTCTGAATATGAGCAGAAAGTGTGCTGATACAGGGAAACGGAATGACAGCCAAATGGCCAGAGGCAGCCATTTCAGGTCCAGAAAGTAAAAATCCAAATCAGGACTTTGTTTCAACCAGCCAGTTGAGTACTCAGTGACTGAGACTCTGTGTTGGTTGGTGTCAACAAAATCCTGGTTTGGATTTTTACTTTCTGGACCTGAAATGGCCGCCTCTGCAAATGGCGATGAGCATGTGTGTGTGCGAGTGAGGTCGACTATGACGGCCGTCAGATGACCAAAGCCTGCCTACCAGCCCCATTAAAGCCCCTACCCCCCCCTCCACGGACGGCACCCTGCGGCAAACGCCACGTCTGGCCGGCTCAGCCTCGCCTCCCATTAAATGTCGGTGGCAGATTCTCGTCGCTCCTGCGGGCATCCCCGGCCCACACCATTTACGCTGCACCAACTCTGCGCTGCCCAGATTAAAGGCAGGTTTCACCAGCCGACAGCACTACCAACAACCCACAATGGATAAAAACGTCAGACCCAGAAGTGCGGCTGCCTGATTTACGAAGGAAAAAATGGCTCACATAAGATATTGTTTTTCTGCAATTCCCATTTAACTTTCATATTAGTGTTTGAAAAATTTACCAAAGGGTCTATATAAATACTCAATGTTTACTTGATATGGTTAGAACGGTACTGTGAGGTGCCCTGAGCAAGGTACCACCCCCAAGCACCGCTCCCCGGGCGCTGAATTAGCTGCCCCCTGATATGTCACGATGTCATATATGGGTTAAATGCAGAGGACACATGTCATTGTTGTGCTCTGTGTGCTGTAGTGTGTCAACAATGACAATCACTTTCACGTTTTCTTTTCTTCTCTTTTTTTTTTTTTTTACCATAAAGGAAGTACAATACTTACACTGAATGCATAATGACACTCTGCTTATGCTGAATTCAGCACATAACTTCCTCTTTGCGGTTTCCCAAATCGGATGGCCACCAATCCCGGCAAGTGCTGCAATGTCGCAAGTGTCCCATTTTACAACTTTGCAATGGCACTTGGTTTAACTTTAACATAAAAAAATGAAGTATGAAAGCAAGCAAAAATGGAATATGTGCACAGGAGAGAAACGGCTCATAATATTACTTTGAGCTTAATTAAATGAGCAGCATTAGGAACCAGTAAAAAGGCTGGTGACACAGAATGGTCTCCAGCGTAAGGAGCCGGACAGAGTGTAAAACGGTACAACAGCAGGTGTCCGAGGTCCCTCATTGACCACTAGGCTCAGAAAGGGCTTCCTGAGGCTTATGATGGCAGCACAAGCTGTCCTGACCCCCAATGCACTGCTAAAAACAGGCTCGCTGGCCAGGTTCCGGCGTGACCAAGCGACAAGTGACACACCACAGGAGCTGGACTGACTGGTTACTTTTCTACAGTGAAAGGCACCAGCACCGTGTAGAAGAGTTTTCCAATCCGGTCCTCGTTTTCCAATCCTTCTCCTGCAGATCCCCAAGGACCGGACTGCTGTAAAGCAGGGGTGTCAAACTCCAGTCCTGGGGGGCCGGAGCCCTGCACATTTTTGGGCTTCCCCTCATTTAACACTCCTGATTCACCTCCTTGTCCTAACTACCACACAGCTCTTAAGCTGAATCATTTGTGAAGGAACAGGGAAAGAACTAAGCTACACAGCGCTCCGGCCCCCCAGGACTGGAGTTTGACACCTCTCATGTAGAGTGTCTTCATGCAAGAGAGTCACAGGCAGAGCATTTAGCCTGAGAGAGACAGAACCATAGTGTATGGGGGGAACAGAGAGGGTGGGAGAGAAAATGAGAGCAAGGGGACAAGGAAGATAAAGTGAGAGAAAGATCGAGGGACCCTCCTGTGCAAACGCAAGCAGTGTCACTGAGGCAGTATTTATGTTTTCCATACTGCTAACTCTGCTCTCATGCCCTGGACTGGATATTGGGTTCTTGGGTTTGAGATCTCTGGCTTTCAAAAACCAAGCAGAAGTGGGCCAATGAAAGTGTGCATGTTTTTTTTTTTTTTTAAATGAATCAGATGCCACAGGCGGAAGGCAGCAGGTCTTCCGAATCAAGGAGACACACTGGCGCAGTGTCAAAGAAGAAATCACCCTTTGTCGCAGCTCAACCCCTGGTAACTGCAAATTACACACCTCTGATTTCCTAGGGCAGGACGTGGCGGGTAAGAGCTCTGGCTGGCTTTCAGAGGCGAGCCATTTTTAGGCTGCATCTGCATCCCTTCCTTCTGCTAGGCTGCAACATTTCCAAATAGAATTATAAATGGTGCAGGTGTCCATCAGGGAACAAAGGTTCCACAGAGAGGGTTTAGGGAGATTCGGAATCGCCCGATACACCATCACTGAAATGCTAATACTAATGGCATTAATCACTTGCCTCTTCCACAGTCAGATAGAACACAGATGGTCCACCAAAAACCAATTTAATGTTACCTGAATACATTCCAAAAAACTTAGTTCCTGAAATTACGACTTGAGATTGGAGAAAGAGGGCAACATATGCATTGACTGCCATGATAAAGGGGCAAAATTCTCAGAGCTGCTGGCTGGATATTGGGGGCTATTTATAACGGAGCAATACTACTCAGTGTGGTGGGTGCGTGGGGGTCCTTGCCAGCCATCCTCACACACCGTGTCCTTTCAGTGGGGGCAGGGGTCTTACCGATTCGATAGGCTTATCCAGTGAGGCCTGCTCCAGCTCCAGCTGACCCTCTTCATACTGGTCAAAGTGATTGCCCCCCTGCAGAGAGAGAGAGAGAGAGAGAAAAAGGATTTATATCGTGACAGAGACCGAGGCAGCGTGCTCGCCGAGGCAGCGTGCTCGCCGAGGCAGCGTGCTCACAGAGGCAGCGTGCTCGCACAAATCGCGTTTCTGTTTCTCAAAAGTTAGGAGTGCTCTCATGACCCGCCCATTCACACGGATGCATCTAGCAGACACTTTCTCCAAAAGCTATTTATGGCTCACAAACAAACAGCCCAGGCAAAGTATAATTATCCTTGTATCTGTGACGGCTATCTTGTATCAATCTGAGTAAAACGCCATGCATACAAGCCAAAAGTCAGCATTAAGTCCAGCCGGAAAAAAAAAAAAAAAAATACATTACTATTCAGGAATTAAACTAAATGACAACATTCAACTCTATGGTAGGCCAATGCTGAACCCCTCCCTCCCAGCTACAAGGGGCATCTCGGCTCCCTTGTGGACATTACTACATTCCCTACTCCCAATACACAAGTAGATATTTCACAGTCAAGGGCGACAGCAATCAAATCTCAGTGTAACACCCACATGCAACTTCACGAAGGTCTGCCAGGACCCGGTTACACCACAGGACCCCCCAAGCCCCCTCGAGTGCCGTGCCAGCAAGCAGAAACCTATATGACTTCTGGAGGTCCTGGCCACTGGCCCTAGCGCAGTACACTGGGGGATTCCAGATAGCAACTGCTTGTGACAGTTACACCTTCCTGCTGTGGTTTGTGATGATCCAAATCCTGCGGCCAAGTTCCTATCATTAGAGTTTGAGGCCAAGCAATCGTTTATCTCAATAAATGAAAAGAATTCTCCAAACTTAGGGGCAAAATATGTATTTTCACTGGTAACAATAGTAAGTAGTGATGCACAGATGAGCAAATGTCCTGCCGATACTGACAGTAAATTGATTTGAAAACTGTCAACGATAATGATATCGTTTGTTTGGGAGGTTCTGCTTAAATGACACCCTTTAACGTTAACACTGGCACACAACAACAGTCGCAAAGCCTTATTCTATAATGCTATACACCGTATATAACATTTATAACAAAGGGCTGATCATCAAGTATGAAACGCCATAATTTTCCGAGTAATATTTTGTATATATTCGAGTATATATTCGCACTGTCTGTATTGAATTTTCTTTTGCTACTAAATGCTTGCGTTATTGACAGACTAGCGTTATTCTACAGTACTGCAGCCTTCTTCATTGGAATGGATTCATTTTTTCAGAAACTCTTTGCCCTTCGCCTTAAGGTGAGCAATTAAATTTCTTGTGTTGAAATGCTGATCCCAGTCGTGAAATTTTAGCAGAGCAATGTTTGCAAAGTGCACTTCTAACATCGTTTTTGCTAAAGTTAAAATAATTGCACACAGCGGACATTTGTCTAACCGTTTAGTATGCGGGTAGGCAAAGCAATATGGGACATCATTTTAAAGAAAGTTATCTGACATAAATATCAGCTCATTCTTAACCACTGGCCAATTATTGCTGTATCATCCAATACCGATCATCTCTAATCGTGCATCTCAAATAGTAAGACAAGGCCACAAATACTTCTACCAGGTTTCATTAGGGAAAGGTATCATTCTATCATTACACCCCCTACCAGATTCTCACCCATCCCTGAGTATTCAGCTAAAATAAAAAGTTACAAGCTCCCGCCAAAGTTAGACATGCAAAATACATTCCCCAGCCTCTCCCATTACTTCCGGTATGAAGCAGCAGCTCTTGTTGAGCCATCGATCCACACTAGGGGTTTGCCTCCAGGGTGTTAGAGAGCTGCAGGCTGGGAACAGCTGGCCTAAAGGATCGACTCAACTAAACTCAACCCCCCCCACGGGGAACACGACAAGCCTCCCTCAACGATACAAATAAATAGGCTGCAAGCTCCGACTTACATATTAAATTCGTAGCTTACATATGACTTTCTCATTTATGCACTTTATGCAAAGTCGTACAAAGTCCAGCTTAGCAGCAATACACAGAGCGCGCTACATCCTAATGTGGGGCAAGTATTACAAACCGATTTAATCCATTTCAGAGCTTGCTGCAAGGAATTTCAAATCAGCCGAAGAACATTACTATGTTTCCAGTCCATGAAAGGTAAAGACACTGCAATCATTTTCCAGTGAGCGGCTCGGGGTGGCGTGGCTTTGAGCTTGCGGTACATGGTAAACATTACGCACCACATCAGTGCGCTTGAGAACCTAGAGTGACCAAAGGACAGCGGTTACAGCCATTGCTATTTAGGGAAAGTTATGCATTTTAACTGTATGGTTTTCAAGCACATGTCTTACGGAGACTAATGCTTGCCACTAAGGCACAGTCTCCCCCCAAAAATATTACAGGAGTTAGCTCTAAAATTAATGCCTTTACAATAATATAGGCCAAGTGCCTTAATTAGAAAGAATAAAATCAATCTTAAGTCCCTACTATTAAACCAGGTCTCTGGGACACAGTCAGAACACTACTCATCAATTGAAAGGATTACCTCTAATATCTTGAATATTGGACACACTCAACGAGAACAATGGCACCAATCAAACTTTTCCATTCTACGGTATTAGACTTATGTCGCATCATGAACAATAGACTTGGTTGAATGAAGGGGAGTAAACATGACCCAACTGAAACAGCCTGACCCTCGCAGCTCCCAGCTGGACCAAGCAGCAGTCTGGAATGACAGCTGCAATCATGCGAGCTCCACGCTGCGCCAGACATTTGTTTTCTGAGTACATCTGAAGGAAATGCATTACATAACCGAGAACATCAAAGCCTTGATTCCATGGAACTGCAAGTTTTTATTTAAAAAGTGGTGGCAGATTGGCCGTGGCGGTACACAACTTCTTGAGGATGCTTAGGTCCTTCAACGTGTGCAACAAGATGTTGCATATCTCCTACCACTACCAGTCTGTCGCAGCAAATGCAATTTTCTTTGCAGCCATCTGTTGGGGTGATGGTATCAGAGATGGATACTCTATGAAGCTGGAAGAAATGAATAAGAAGGCTGGCTCTGTGCTGGGGACTGCTCTGGAGCCACTAGAGTTGGTTGTGGAGAGAACGATATTGCACAAACTGCTCAACAATATGGACAACACTACTCACCCTCTACACACCCTACTGGTCTGATGACAGAGCGTTTTCAATCAGAGGATCCTTTAGTTCCTCTGCAATAAGGATCGTTACAGGTGGTCAATCCTACCCATGGGAATAACCATCTAAAATGAGTCCTCTGTGGGCCGGAATAGGAGTCTCCTGCTCTGAAGCAAATCATAGTGCACATTTACATTTATTTTGCACAATAAAAATATATTTCAGTTGTAGCTTTTTAAAAATCTAGCTTAGTACTGCAGTTTTTTGCATATTTGTACAAATATATTTTTGTCATCTGTAATTCTGTGTTTTGTCTATCTTTATGCCTACCTTGTGATTCTGTTATTTATGGGAAAAAATTCCCTTTGGGGATAAACAAAGCACTATGAATCTGAATAACATATTTCAAATACCGCACTCATGGATTGTTTAAATACTAGGACTTCTCACAAACAATCCACTTTATACATGAGCAAACCTACTCAAAACAAAAAAAGCTTGTTCTTATTATTATTCCTTCTGGGACAAAGTGCGCCATTCATTTTGAGGTAGAGCTTTCTCATGTGTCCTAACCCAAGCACATGTTCCTGTCTGACAAACACCAGCCGACCAATCAGAGCAAACGACACAGGAAGTCCTTCAAAAACACAGAAGAAGAGAGGCGGGGCGTCCAATAGCAACAAGCAAAAGAACAACTGTCAACCATGACCACATTTTTTTCCCCTGCATGAACATTACGTGAGCATATTTTTCAAAACACAAAAGTTGTCCCAATGGAGCAATCCACAAACACAGCAGAAGCATTCCTACGCGTGATTTCACCAATTATATCATTTTCCTGAGTTTTTTTATTTTTTTAAACAAACATTCCTAAATTGCTATTTCACACAATAGAAAGTGGTTTTTCTGCCAAAGAAAGCTCCAACTGCATTTGACTAAAGCACCTAGACAAGTTGGCCACATAACTAGACAGAATAATTAAGCATATCAGGTTTGGATACAAATGACGGAATGCGGGTCTTCCCACAGCATTTCGACAGGTCCAAAACATCGACACAGATGGCCATTAAAACGGGATTTTACACTATATCGTGTTATTCCATGAAGAACGCTAAACTAGCCAGAACACACTTTTTAAAAATGCCCTGATGAAATATACGTGTGCCTACAAAAACTGAACTAAAAAAAACTGAGGACAACAAGACCATCCATCGTCTTGTCCATAGCCCCTTCTGTTACAGCCATTGTTTCATTACATGCAGCGGACCTCTTCCCTAAAGCATCTCTATATTACTTCGAGAAGAAAGTGTCACCGAAGGACCTTTCTGTACACCAAACAATTCCACACTGTACCAACCAGTCTGTATCATCCATAAAGGAACAAAATATAATTGTACACCCGAAATATTTTCAGTGCTACTGTAACATGGTTAAACCGGTTTCCACACATTCCCGTCCCGGACAGCGAACTGCAAGCACAAGAAAACTTCCTCATACATTTCTCTGGGTTTTAGCTCATAATGCATTACCTGTTGCAACAAATTAACGCAAGGCTGCTGATTTTAAAGGATTAACTATTTACTGCTAACGCTTTAGTCCGCTAGCAGGCTTGTATTACAGCTCATTTAAGGCAGCCCACAGGCGTGCATTTTTAACATAGATTTCTTCTTTTACATTCTAAACTTCACAGCAAGGTATAATACCTTAACGTACCGCTTGCTTAACTCATTCACAAACAGTTTTACCTGGTAACTGCGGTCCTCGTTGAAACGAGAGAATCTCTCAGCCATTTTTTTTTCTACTGCAACTCCTCTGCCTTCACTCCCTGTCTGGCCTATCCATAATGCCTGGGGAACGC